GTCACTCACAATGAGTGACGGTGACAAAGTGATGTAGGATTAACATGCTGGCCGCTGGTTTTGCTGAGCTCAGGCATATGGCTTCAGCACTAACTGATAGTGGGATCACTGAGGCTATGCTGGAAGCTTTTGTCAAGTTTGATTATGTACTGGCCTGGGCAGTGTATGGCAGGCTTTGTGTGGCTTGGTATCACACACATAAAGCAGAAGTGAAGCTTTCAGGATTACTGGTGGTCAGCATTAATGAGCATCTAAGGCATGAATGCATTATAGATTTTAGATTTTCGGTGTAATGCAAGTTCCAGAACTCAGAATTTGATTTGACTCTGAACATAAGCTTCTACATATATGCAAGTCCAGTGTCATAACTTAACATTACCAGCTGGGCTTAGGGCTTTACTCTAAAATGTAAAACTAATATAGATGCATTTTGTTGCTAGATTTTGCCAACAATACGGAAAGCAGAAATGCTTGAAGATATCCTTTTTTTATATGATGTATAATGGCTAGTTCTAAATACTTAGGCAGATAACACTACCATTCAGTAATAGTTTGCTAGCAGTTGTCTGTATCTGAGAGCTGTAAGTCCCACTGCTGCACCAGCTTCTTTCTCCACACTCACAGCTCCTACAAATAAAACCTATTAATTACCATATGGAGGCTGTTGCCACAAAACCCACTGGAGGAAAAATAAATGAGTGCAGCTGGGGAATAAACCAGACACAACCTCAACAGAGACCATCGCACCAGTGTTAAATATGGCTACTGTAATTTGGATTTATAGATAGATAGATAGATAGATAGAAGGTTGTGATGATTCTTCCCTCTACATCATGATGATATTCCGTCTAAATTATGAAACGGTGAATTACAGCCTTAAACCCCTTGGGAATGTCCCTTTTGTGACTCCCAGTGAACATCTGAATCAGCCAGCTGGGACCTGAACTCACAGATATGCTCAATGATATAAAACAAAAGTGTCACACCTATCGAAGACCTCCAGAGCCAGTTAAAGAATATGAAAGGATGCAAGGAAGTGTCCTCACCAGGCTCTCTGCCAGCCAGCCCATATAGAGTAGTTATAATTAATGCTGGCACAAACTCCCTGTAGCTTAGACTCTTGATGACACTAAAATGAGGGGAAATTGTGTTGAAGGGGCTATATAAAGCTCTTCAGTGCCAAGTCACATGTGGCTCTGTGGCCAACACTTTCACCACTAGATGTGCCCCCTGTGATACTATCCCCCAATCAAAGATACCTACTGATTGTTTTATTATAACTGTGTTTTGTGCCTTGAGAATATTATCCACTACAAAGGAATTTATTTACATGAATAAATAAGCCAATGTCATTTTAAAATCATTCTATGTAAGAGAGTGTAGATAAATTGCACTGTAATGACAAATGTCATAAAAAATTAAAGACTTTAAAATGTACTGTATTATAGTATTAATATATATTCCAGAATTAACATCTTAAGTGAGTAGTGCTGCATTAGGACATCAGTGATGGATACAAGTATAAATGAAATTATTCTATAAAGAGATACAGACTATGTGTTTTTCTAATTAGACACTTCACAACACATCTCTTGCCAGCACACAGGCTGGAGTTAGAAAGCTGAAAATGAAACTAAGTGAAAGTGCTGCTGAGTTGACAGAAAGTACACACTGATCCTTCTGTCATCCTCAAGTGTGATGGGAGCTTATCCAATGACTGAGATGTGTTTGGTAGTCTGTTGCCCAAATGGAAGAGACACAATAGCCCTGTCCTACCACCCACGCTTGTCGTCTTGTGTAATAAGCCAGGAAGCCACGGTTGTTGTCCATCAGTTGTTCCATGAAGACATTAAAAGGATGAAGTGCACAGGATTCTTAAAGATATACTGTGGTACACTTGGCTGATAAAAATCATCCTATCATTCTTATATAGGCCTTTGTTAAAGAGAGGGCATTTGAGAGCTTGCTAAATAGTGCAGCTTTAGAGACTACTAGCTTAGTTACTACTGTGTGTCCAGCCAGGGAAACCCTCAAAGTGCAGGCTATAAAACTGTCCGCCAGTCCTTTAACACTGAGACTGTCTTCATCCCCCACTATATTAATCACAAGTTCCCTACTTATGTAAATTATACACTGCAATTTCTAACGTGGTAAATGATCTTCTGCTTACTATGAATTCAGCTTTCACTGCTTACTAAAAATAAAACCTGACTTGACATGTAACAGTAAGAAAAGCAAATATTAAAACTAATGAATGGGGCTGAACACATTTAGCTGGTATTGCAAATGCTGGCTCACTGTCACACTCTCATGGTTTACAGGGTTGCTTGAATAGGACAGACTCATCATTAATGTTATTAGTGACACCCGTGCTTTTCCAGCGATGACAAATCCAAATGTATGCTATTGCTCTTGGCCTTCCATAACTGTGTTAACTGGCTGAATGTGTCAACCTGCTGAAGACAATCTGCAAATTAAAAACAACAAAGCTAAAATTGTATCAGAGGGGCTGGTGACTCCATTTTGAGAGCTCTACTGATCTAATGTTTGCCTAAGTACTAGCTAAGTACCCAGCTAGGCTAGTTCACAAGCACACAGGTGTTTTCACTTGACTACACTATACACGGATCAGCCATAACATTATGACCAACTGCCTAACAATGTGCACACAGGAGTCAATGTGGCACTTGGTTAACACTCATGTCACTCTGCAGCTCACTGTGCATCTTCTGTGATTTGCTTCAATAATTCTACTAGCAGGAAGAGCACAGATGTGTCAACCATTCAGTGAAAATCTTAAGTAAAAGGAATGAAAACTGTCGTTGCCAGGACAAGTCAGAGATCATTTTTTAGACCAATTCAACAGCCTGTTGCTGCCTAATATACCCCACACACTGACATGTGCCATTGTAATGAAATAGTCAGTGTCATTCACTTCACCATAATGTTATGGCTGATTGGTGCATGTACTGTATGTACACATAATATCACAGGTAAATGAGAAAGATGTTAGGTATGACTGTAGACATCCAGATGGTCATGAGAGTCTAATTAACAGGTGACCAAGCATCCTATAATTGTATTGAAGAAATTTTAGCTGGTATATACAGCCAAGGTTTGTCACTATAGCTTTGACATGACATGTTTGCAACTAAATATTATGTCTCGCACTTTCTCATTAGTTAATTACTGTTATTTTAGAACTCGGTGGCACCAGAAGTAATTGTGTTCTACCCTGACAAAGCAGCCATTTGGCGCTTTAATATAAGAAAGGGGTTGTGTGCAGCATTAAACATGGAGACATGCTATGTGCATTATCTTGTCTTTGTACCCGTTGGTGCCTCTAGTCTATCTCTGATTCATGAGGCAACATGAACAACCTGAGGGGACATGAATGGGCTACTCTCATTTCCTGGTTCTCAACCTTTAGTAATTACCTTTGTGTGCCCAGAGGCCCCCTGTGTGTTTTAGAGGAAGAGAGAAATAAAGAGGAAGACAGTAAAGTTGTGTAGAAAAAAGCTGAATACTCTTATTGTAACAGACAGTTGTACAACAGCTCAGAGGCACAAGGCATGAAATATTAATTTTATTATTCATAGAGGTTTGATTATTCTCTTCTGCATATGAAAACTATGCAGGATGTTTTTGGGTCAGTTACCAATTTCTCCTAATGGATTTGATACATGGTTTTCCCAAAACACACAAATACAGTCCACATATTTGTTGTTCAGTCTAGTACAATGAAGTGCAACTCATTGTGAAACTCAAAGTGTCTGTAAAATTAGATTTGAAAAAGTGGTTGCCATCTCTTTCAAAATAATACACATAAAAAGACAGCCGAACATGTTGCGAACAGTGGATCTGGACGCTGTTACACAATTGGTGGATAGCCTATACACTTCTGTAAAAGTAGTCCTAAACGAATGCATTCACACTGAGGTACTTTTAGGGGACTTTCAGTACCGTCTTCGGTGTCAGGCTGAATGAGGGTCATTGTTGCCGGAGACTCAATACAGGGCCTTCACTCACAGAGGTAGTTGTGTGATTTTATCATGGAGAACAGTGTCCCTTTTAAGACAATGAACTGACCGCAACTGTGGAAAAGAGTAAAACTGCTCAAGTAGAACCCTTTTTATTAAAAACACTTCTGTACTGCTTTAATCAATGTGGTTTATAAGGCCTTCTTCATTTTTAATGTTTTTAACCTTTCTATAAAGTAAACAATCCAAAATTTTTCTTACTCTCCCACAATGAATTCTGTCTTTAACTGAATGTTTTCTGGAAAATAGGTAAATTTTTCCTTTTCTTTCCACCTCTAAGATGTCAAATAACAGACAGAAAACCCTGGTGTAAACAACTGAACTGTCAGACACACAAAAGATGAAACCGAAGCAATGAATCACAAAAAAATCAAGTGGTTACATATGAAAGCAAAGCACAGTACGTCACTGTGGGCCTAAAGTAAAAATAAACCATTTTTAAAATTGAAAATAACAATTCACCTTCCCAGGCAATGTAACTCTGTATTACAAAATTTCTTTTATTTGTAGAGACCTAATGCAATGATTGTTTAAATGCCTTTTCTTAGCACATGAACTCCCTGAACAAAAGTTCATTTGAACTCTACAAGTGCCCGTTTTGACAGTAAGTTATTTGTAAGTATCTCTTAATTTAGTTTGGTGTTTAAAGTAAGTCTTAGCTGAACTACCTTGACTTTTTTTTTAAAGCTGAGCTAAAGTGCGACATCTTGTGATAACCTGAAGTCATTACTTGGTCGGTTATCATAAAGCGGTTGGTCCTTCTCTAACCAATCCGCAGAAAGAATACTGAGAAAGCTGAACTAAAGTGCGACATCTTGTGGTAACCTGAAGTCATTACTTAGTCGTTTAACATAAAGCGGTTGGTCCTTCTTTAACCAATCCGCAGAAAGAATACTGAGACGTAACCTGAATAACCAATGAACGCTTACGTCTTCTCTAACCATTCCGCAGAAAGAATACTGAGACGAAACCTGAATAACCAATGAACGCTTACGTCGATTACAGAAAGTTGGCGTACAATGCATTGTGAAACCATGGAGGAATTATCCGAAAAGCTATAAACAAATATCCTCTATGTTTTGAAAAAAGGTAAAAAATGCATCAGATTTAGTAATGCTGCAGTGTGACTGGGTTTTGTTTTATTTACTGTGGCTTTCATGTTTTCTCACACCAATTTGTTTTATGCACATTATTTTATTAATGAATAAATGATATAGCTAGGTAGCTAACGGCTAATAGCACAAAGCTAACCAATAAATAACGTAAAATCTAATCAGTGGTATTGTATGTAAAAGTCATCACGGAATAGCTTTAATCACCGTATCTTGTCAATTCTGTTTTGCTTTCTTTTTTAACAAGTGTGTGGTCGTTCGTACGAAGATGAAGGTGGTCAATCTGAAGCAAGCCATTCTGCAGGCTTGGAAGGAGCGTTGGAGTGACTACCAGTGGGCTATTAACATCAAGAAAAACTTTCCAAAGGGAGCCACATGGGATTACCTTAACCTTGCGGGTTAGAGGAAAGACAGTGAAGCCCCACAGGCATCATATAAATGTCATATTGTGTTATCATTTCTGCTGTGGCTCTAAATACCTTTTGTGTATTCCAGAGGCCCTGTTGGAGCAGGCGATGATTGGTCCTTCACCTAACCCGCTTATTTTGTCTTACCTCAAATATGCTATAAGCTCCCAGGTAAGACAAACAGTATTGTTATAAAAATGGTGTAACTGAGAAGTGTGTCAAACAATTTGGTTATTATATAAGTTATGAATGCTACCCTCGCTTTCCCTAGATGGTGTCTTATTCCAGTGTGCTTACAGCTATCAGCAAGGTAACTTTATACTTGATATACTTTTTACTTTAAAATATGAGAAGGTTTCATGAATGTCTTTCTTTAAATTTTATTTATTTATTTGATAGTTTGAAGATTTTTCTCGGGAGCTGTGTGTCAAGTCGCTTTTGGAGATAATGGATATGTTCTGTCATTGTCTCAGGTATGTTCAATTATCCATGGTATAATCTTATCAGTTTAAAGCTTTTTACACACTTAATAACACACTGGCTTGGGGTAGCCAGTCAATGCAGCCAGTGGTGAAATCTATGTTTTGCATTATGCATGCTATACACCAACTAATATTATAAGCAAATTAGAGAAACAGACAAACAAATAAAGTAATTCCAAGTTACAAAAGTAAACCTGATTTAGTTGCACTCATATTAATGGTAAAATTTGGACATTTCAAGATTAATGTGTTACAACAACACAATAGATGCTGCAGAAAGTTTATTTTAAATGATTCACTATTGTATAATATACTGATTTGAAAAAAAAAACAGGCACTTAAGCTAAACTAAAAAGTTTTGGCCTTTAAATGCACTTTATGAAGTTTCCAGGCACTTTGTTGTTTTAGGTTATTATTGTTATTTATGTAAAGCTGTACATTTTTTCTCATTCCTCTTTTATCTCTTTCTGACTGCCTCTCATTGTTGACACTGAAGCTGTCACGGGAAAGCAGAAGAATGTATGGGGCTGTGTCGAGCCCTACTGGGAGTGGTGGTGTGGCTGCTGCAGGGCTGTGCCTGGTACTGTGAGAGGCTGAGGGAACTCGGCCCATCAGCCAGCACAGAGGCTAGTCTGAAAGCCTGCCAGGAGAGGCTACACAGTCTGATGAACAGCACCAAGAACCAAGCCCTGGTTCACATTGCTCGGCTGGAGGACCAAGGTGTTATGACTGTTTGTGTGAATGTGTATACTGTATGTTGTGTTTACAGACATACTCTTTTTGCTGTCAACATTTTGGTGCCATTATGACGGTGGTCCTGCTCTGCCAAAGCATAAAACTACATGAAAACACTCTGTAAATCTGAAGTAACAGCTGACAGAGTTTCCCATGGAGAGCTCTCTGAATTTAATAGGGAGCATGACATCTTAAAGTGTGTTTCTTGTGCCGATCCTCCACAGGTTCCTGGGGCAGCATAGAGCAGGCAGTGCTAAAAGTGACAGATGGCATCAGCAGTGTACCTAAACAAACATTGAGGACTAATTTAGAGGAGAGCTTGTCACTAGTAAAAGGGTGAGAATTCCCATCACATTCCTTAAAACTAACTACTCAGAACTATTTACACATGACTTTAGAAACCATCACAGTCCATGATCCTCGTGCTAACTCTGGACTCTTTCCTCAGTATCCCTTTGATGCTGTCTGTACAGAGTGACCCTCCACCCAGTGCCTCCTTCCCGTCTGTCCACGCCTTTATTATGCTGGAAGGCACCATGAATCTGACAGGAGAGACACAACCATTGGTGGAACAGCTGATGATGATCAAGAGAATGCAGGTGAACATTTAGCTTTAAAAATCATGATTGGGACATTTACTGACTATTTTATTTCATAGAACAATATGTGAAAATGTATTGGCCTTGTGTTAACCACAGAGACTATTCCAGATGCTTAACCAAAAACCCACTGATTTCAGGGCAAGGGAACCAGAAGTTCAAAAATGCTACCTCATTTCCAGGTTTTACAACTCACTACTACGGCACTCTGTGTCACAAGTCCAGCTTTCTATGGACAGTCCTGTGTGATTTTACATTGTAACGCTGCTGTATTTTTGCATAAAATGTACCGTGCTACACCTGGAAATATGACATCAATTTGGCAGATAAAGTAAGTTAATTACCAATTTTCACTGGCATTTTGCTACTGGAAAGTTCCCTGCACTATCATAGTGCATTACTGAAGCCTCTTTGATTAAGGTTGAAGTGTATGGCGTATACTTGCAAAATTTCTCTGTTACACCAGTCAGTTGAAACAGGTGCAATCAGTTGTCCCATATATTTTAGATTGTTAACTGCAGCCTTCTCAAATTGTTTGTCCTCCACAGCAAATTCCTGCTCCTCTTTTTGTCCTGGAGATCTGGAAGGCCTGCTTCACTGGCCTCATTGAGTCACCAGAGGGCACAGAGGAGCTCAAATGGACTGCTTTCACATTCCTCAAGGTAAAACCTAGCTCTAAGTTGAACACAAAGTCTACATTTCTCTTGTTATTTTGACATTAAATTAATGGCAAAAGTCAGTGAGAGATTTTACTTTCACTTAATAGTCGGGACCTGACTAGACTTGGTATAGTTTAACTTTGGTTTATTAAAATGCTCTAATCAGGTAACAGTAATTACATGACTTTTTAAAATGTTGTCTAAGTGAACTACAGTGTAAGTACCCCTAACAGACTCGACCACACTTAAATCCATTTCTTGTTTGCTTTTTCCCCCCATAGATCCCACAAGTATTGCTCCGACTAAAGAAGTATCCTCAAAGTGACAAAGGACAGGTAAAATAGTCGACTCCCGGATAGCTTTCTAACAGATAAACACACTGACATGGTCATCTTGTATTGCCAAGGAGACATGGTCTAACATAGGAATAACTGTTGAACACATTGACATGGTCATTTTTTATTGCCAAGGGGACATGGTCTAACATAGGAATAACTGTTGGTATGTTTTTAAGCTGTAATGTGTGAACCTTCACTGCCACCTTTAAACACAGCGCATGTATTTTTTACAGGACTTCATGGAGGAAGTGAATATTGCATTTCAGTACTTACTGAAGCTCACACCACTGTTGGACAAAGCTGATCAGAGATGCAAGTAAGCGCCCCAAAAATCCTGCTACAGTGACCTTCATTGCCTGTAATCTCATGGTAAGACACTGTAGATAAGAAAGCCTGCACCATGGTTATTATTATTTTTTTATCTTTATACAGCTGTGACTGCCTTGGCATGCTGCTGCAAGAGTGTAACAAGATTGGTCTGCTATCAGATTCGAATACCACCAGCCTCACTTCAAAACGGTATGGGTTCATATCTCACAGTGGACACGCATGATGCTCAACATAAAAAAATATATATATCAAGAATTAAGTCCAGCAGACACCTCTTTGTTCTTTATTTTTGTGCTCCATTGGTTAATATGATCATGGGTAAAATTTAATTCACCATATTCACTCAATATCACACATATAGTATATCCCCAACCCCCTCCACGCTCACACACTCTCTCTCTCTTTCTCTCTCTCTCTCTCTCCCCTTCTCCCTCTCTTTCTCTTCTTCTCCCCCATACCCCTCCCTTCCTGCCCCCTCTTTCTGTGCACCTTTGATTCAGGGCTGAGGACAGGGAGTTTGCCCCAAGGCTGAAAACTGCAGAAAATGCTAACATCCAGCCTAACCCAGGTCTCATCCTGAGAGCTGAGCCCACTGTCACCAACATTCTCAAGGTAGAGCACCATAACCTGAGCTGTATTACAATGTTGATATAGTGATGGTGATTATAGTTCTGGGCCCGTATTCACAAAGCATCCTAAGCCCAAAGAGTCACTCCCAGAGATGAGATTCTAAGAAAACTCTTAAAATTGTGACGTTTTCTAAGAATTTCTCCTTAAAGTTAAGGATAGTTCGTAAAGATAAACGTTATTCACAAAGCATCATCAAATGCTCAGACAGTGATAATGTTTGTGGTTAATCTTATTAGAGATGCGCACATCTCCCACCCAATGTGATGATGCCATCATGTGAGAAATGTAAATGATCAGAGCATTAAGATATTTGGCAGCTAAAAATGAAACTGCTCAGCAGTGATGACGTGTTTCTGTTGCAGCCTCCCATCAGCAGAGTGGTCACTCAAAATGTTACAGTACTTTCAGGTCTCATATTGTGACATACTACATTTCATCTCCACTGTACTTTTGCACCTTCCACCTTGTAATGTCATTGTAGCAAGATTTGAAAATGGAGTCTCTCACTTGGTTTACTGATGAGGGGTTCAAATAATGGCTAGGGCCGAGGGGTTCATGCTGCAAGCTTTTAACACCACACTGACACCCTGAGTTATGTGTCGCCTCTCAGCAGTTAGCGCCGCCCCCATGTGATCGAGAAGCCTAACAACGGGGTCAACCACACCTCCTCAGTGAGATAAAGGTTTTCTCAGAGCTGCTCTGAGAAATCACTTTTAAGCTGCTACTCCTTGCTAGGCCGTATTAGGCTAAGTTAAAAGCTCTCTGAGAGTCTGTCTCAGAATGTTTGTGAATATGGGCCCACATCAATACTGAGTAGTATTCAGAATGTGGACAGATATGTCCAGCGATCTTAAATAAATGTGCGCACAGAAATGTTGTTATATTCACAATGCCTTGGTAATAAAGCACAGAAAGTTGCCTAATATGAAAAATGTATAAAAGCATTTCATATCAGGGGAAACAGTGAGAAGAGTTAACAAAGTTACACACTAAGATCATTCAAGTTAAATATGTGTGTAAGTAAAAATGAACTCTTTCCTCTATGTTTACTAGACTGTAGATGCAGACCACTCCAAGTCTCCCGAGGGCCTTCTAGGGGTCCTGGGACACATGTTGTCTGGGAAGAGCCTGGACCTCCTCCTAGCAGCAGCAGCAGCCACTGGGAAACTGAAATCCTTTGCACGGAAGTTCATTAAGTGAGTAAACCATCCCCTTAGTTACCAGAATCATGGCTTTTCATACCAGTTCAGTGACAGATTGTAAATGGTGCTGTGTTTGCCCAGTCAGCAACTTTAGTTGATTGAAGGAGGGTTTTAACAAGATGTTTAATATCTTGTAATGGCCTTTCTCTTTTTCTTTTTTAAGGCTTAATGAGTTTCCCAAGCACATCATTGGCGAAGGATGTGAGTTCAAACACATGAGTGACATGTTCCAATGTGGGCGTTTCTGTCTTCATTGACGTACTGTTTCCTGAATGAGATCCTAACACTGAGGATTTTTCTCTCCTCTCCGTCAGCCAAGTCTGCATCAGTACGGGCCCTACTCTTCGATATCTCTTTCCTCATGCTCTGCCATGTGGTGCAGACATACGGTTCTGAGGTTAGTCCATGGCAATTCAGGCATATCAAAAACAGTGGTACACTATTCTGTGAGGAATCTACAGCGAATCGGCCTGTTGTTTCAGATTAAGGCCACAAGATGTACAGAGACATTACTGCATTACTGACCTAACGTTCTCTGCAGTATACCTATGCTTGCTGAGCAGGTTGTTTGCATCTGTGTCATCTGTCTATTTTGCTTTATTAAGCCTTAACAGATTCATACAGTTACATGGCTGCCCCATGTCTTCCATGTCCAGGTGATCCTGTCAGACCCCAGTCCTTCAGGAGAGACACCCTTCTTTGAAACATGGCTGCAGACATGTATGCCTGAAGAAGGCAAGACTCTGAACCCAGATCACCCCTGCTTCAGACCTGAACCTGGCAAAGTGGAGAGTCTGGTCACTTTGCTGAACAGCTCCTCAGAAATGAAACTTGTGTGAGTTGCAAAACAATTTTTTGTGGATGCTTTATCAGCTTTACTGACATTCACTGAACATACTTTGTCACTTATGAAACAGGAGGGGTTTCCTTCCTTTTTGATTTCCATTCATTTCACTGACAGGTTAAAAATGACTTTGCACATCGTCAAAACACCTGCACTTCACCCCCAGTCCCTCTATTATAACCTTTAGATAAACACTTCATACTTCGGTATACTTCATACTTTTTTCTAAGTTTTTTTTGACTTCATACTTCAGTATTTCATTCATTCATTTTTATTTTAATTATGACAGTTGTATGTCATGGAAATTTCAAGCAATGCTCTAAATAGGGAATTTCCTCTGACGTTTGTCTGTTGTGACAGTCAGGTGAAATGGCATGAAATCTGCCTCAGCACTCCAGCAGCTATCTTAGAGGTTCTGAATGCGTGGGAGAATGGTGTTCTTTCTGTGGAGGCAGTCCAGGTTTGTCCAGCTTCACAATTCTTGGTATTTATTTTTATTTGTCTTCCTGTGGGTGGAAAATCTTCTTCTCAGAATTCCTGAGTGTGCAGTGGGCATGTGATGCTCAGACCATGTCAGTAACCACCCAAATTCTCATTATCTAAGACTTTAACTTTTCCTATACTTCAGTCATGATTGCATTACTCAAGGAAGCTTGATGTATTCTGTGGAAACTGACAAGTAATAACAGTTAAACAACTTGCAACAGCAATGACGCCCCAGACTTTTGTAGATGTAGCCGACTTCTCTTTTCCTCTCTCTTTCTTTCAAGTCTGGGTTTTTGGTTGGATGCTGTTTTAGTCAGTATCCTCTCTCCCCACATTCTTCTAACCACATTCTTCCTTCCCTTTTTTCTAACTGCTGTCATCTCTCTGAGCGTAGAAGATCACTGACAACATCAAGGGTAAAGTGTGCAGCATGGCCGTCTGTGCAGTGGCCTGGTTGGTGGCTCACGTCAGGATGCTGGGGCGGGATGAGAGGGAGAAGCCTCAGACAATGATCCGCCAGCTTGTGACCCCACTGTATGGGGAGAACACTCTGCAGTTTTACAATGAACGGTACAAATGATTGAAACCCACACTAATACTTCACAACCTGAGCCCATGATCAGATACCAGTGTCCTTCACGTTCCACGATTACATGGATTTACAATAACATCCTCTGCCCCTGCACTCTCACTAGTGTGATCATCATGAGCTCCATCATGGAACACATGTGCGCAGATGTCTTCCCACAAACGGGCGCGAACCTGCGCCCCCCAGAGGAGGGCCAGGATCCTATCCCATACCGCAACCTCCTGCCAACCAAGGAACCCATTCACAAGGCCCTCAGCAAGCAGTTCCAGGCTGTGCTACGCAAAGGCTGGGTGGACAGCCGGGCCCTGCATCTGTTTGAGAGTCTTCTCAACATGGGAGGGGTCTTCTGGTTCACCAACAATTTGGTGAAGGTAGGAGGACCAAGAAAAGGTGCTGATAGCTTGACACCTCAACATTAACAACTCTGGCTACATCTAAAGGCTGCAGCTAACAATTGTTTTCATTTGTGAATTATCTTTTCTCTAATAATTGATCATTTTATTTTTTTACTCAACATGTAGTTCAGAACCAGTTTTCTGTAAATAGGCACTGGTGGAGAGTTCTCTTTTTAACCAGCTGTGAGGAAACAGCATTGTGATTATGCTAGATTAACCTGTTTAGGAACATACCATCATTCTTAGATTATTTTTTTTTCCCTGCCGCTCTGTAAAAGAGCCTAGTTGTGGTTTTATGTGTTTTGTACCACTTCTTAATGGATTGTTGTGTAAGTGGGCAAGGCGCCATGAACATACATACTCTTTACTGGTTTATTTAAAGATGAGCTCTGTAGTTGGAAACAAAATCAGTAGTGGTTACATTCAGTGTAGGTTTTTTAAATATATAGAATACCATATTTGATAGCCACCTGTTTTCTTCTTCTATGCCTTTTGCACACAGATTGCTCAGTTTCTTCACAAACCATCGCTACTAACCGTTCATTCGTGGGCTAGCATGATTTAATAAGCAGGAAAGTTGTTGCTTGTGATTGCATGACAAGGGCCTGCTCACTGCAACATTGCTTCATCACATTACCAGAGGTCATAAACTCTGTCTGGCACCTTTGTGACGGTGACTAAAACCCAGTCTTATGGATGGAAAAGTGCAGGCAAAAAAATATTAGAGGGTATGGGCAACAGTTGGATAATAATTGATGTTTGTTATTTCAGGAGCTGCTGAAGGAGACTCGACAGGAGTGGGCCAATCGGGTGGTGCAGTTACTCTACAGCATCTTCTGCCTTGACATTCAGCAGATCAGCCTCACCCTGCTGGGCACCATTCTGCCTAACCTGCTCACAGACTCCGCCCACTGGCACAGGCTAGCAGACCCACCTGGAAAGGCACTGGCCAAGTAAGAGAGGCTTCATACTTTGACGGTGATGGTGGCAGTTTCTGTTGTTGTTGCTGTTTTGTGAGATCTGGGCCTGTATTCACAAATATTCTGAGACAGACTTTCAGAAGAGCTTTTAACTTAGCCTAAAAACCCCTGGCAAGGAGTCCTAGCTTAGAAGTGATTCAGGAAAATGCTCAAAATAACTCTAAGCAAGGAAAACATAAGAACCTTTATCTCACTGAGGAGGTGTGGTTGACCCCGTTGCTAGGCTTCTCGATCACGTGGGGGCGGCGCCAGCTGCTGAGAGGCGACACATAACTCACAGAGTCAGTGTAGTGTTAAAAGCTTGCAGCATGGGGCCCTTGGCGCTAGGCATTATTTGAACCCCTCATCAATAAACCAAGTGAGAGACTCCATTTTCAAATCTTGCTGCAGTGATATTACAAATAATAATTGAGTGCTGCTGACTGTAAGGACGTTCTCTCAGGCACAGCAGAGCAGACAGTATCATCACACACAGAACAAGACTGAACAACAGCTTTTTCCCCACCGCAGTAAGACTGATGGCAAATACAAAAATGTGAAAAATGTGCAAAAACCCCTCATTACCTTATTAAGTAAAATATGTGAAATACCATGTGCAATATTGGAAATTCACCATCTTGTTTATTTTATTTTTCTATTCACGTTTTTTACTATTTTATTCTTATGTTACTTTACTTTTAGACTAGGTGTTCTTTTTCTGGCCTTTGACTCCAAGAGAGCCCTGTACAAGAATTCCTATATGCCTAGAGTCTGTTTATGCATAAATGCCAAATAAAAATCAGCGCAACATTTCAGCCAGTCATGTGTCTCAGTGAGCTGTATTCCAGCTATGTCCATGAGCCTGTAAGATGTGAATTTACATTGGAAATTAAATGTAGTACATCACAATATGGGATGTGAAAGTGCTGTAACAGTATGTGTGACCACTCTGCTGCTGATGGAAGGTTGTGACAGATAGGTTATATTACATCACTGCCAAACACCCTAATGTCTTGATCACTTTCATTTCTCACACTATGCTATTATTGCATTGGGTGGGAGATGTGTGCACCCCTATTGGGATCAATCACAAACATTATCACTGTATGATCTAATTTTTAGCATTTGATTAACTTGTTCAGCATTTGGAGAGTATTTCTTCTGTCCCTTTGTCTTTCCATCATTTTATCCTCTGCTTAACAAACTCTTAAGCCTCTTAAAAGTCCTTGTCTCTACTCCTAACAGTTTACACCTTATGAGCCCTCTTAGGGGCCAAGATGCTTGAATAAGTGTTTTCTTTACAAGGATCTAATCATAACTTTAAGGGGAAATTCTTAGAAAATGTCACAGTTCCAAATATTTTCTTAGAATGTGTCACTAGGATCGATTCTTTGGGCTTAGGAAGCTTTGTAAATATGGGCCCTGGTGTTAACTTGACGCCCTTGATTACTTGACAGGTTATCTGTGTGGTGTGCCCTCAGCTCTTACTCCTCTCACCACAAAGGCTCATTCTCAGCTCGTCAACGCAGAAGGCAGCGAGAAGACATTGAGGTAACATCCACCTAAGACCATAGACTTACTGTGTTACCCAAGAAAATTATCTGAGGTCATTTGGATCAGGGGTGTAATGGTAAACAAAAAACACAATTTGGGTACACTTGAAATGCATTGATATATGTACAGTGTATCCAGAGCGTGGAAAAACACTGCATGCTTTTAAAAGAACTGCATGTTCAGTAGGATTCATGTACTGTAACAGACATTCTTTTGTTTCTATTACCTATTACACCTGTTTACATTTGCAGAAGTACAAGTATTGCACTTCCTTTTAGGTGCAGGTTTGTATAAAAAAAGAGTGAGAAAGACGTTAAATGTGAAACTTATTTAATACAGTGTTTTAGGGATGTGACAATACCACTTTTTTCAGACCAAATACAAGTATGAGTACTTACATTTTAGTATTCACTGATGCCGAGAACTTAATGCAGTAGTTCTACTATAAAAACTACAATTACCATATAAGTATGACTTTAGAAACGGTTTAATTTCATGTGGTTTACTCTCTCATAGTGATTAAATAAAATATCCTATTTAACAGGAGGCTGTTCAAATCACCTGAAAACGTTGTGATAAAAACACAGCACTGCCACCAGTCCTACTGAATAACATGTCTGCAGCCTGCTACCCAGCATACTGGAATACAATGGATTTTTAACCTTTGTATGTTCATTGTGCTCCAGTCCTTGTTTATGTAGGACCCCGGATTTGGAAAAAAATGTTCTGTATGCAAAACAAGTCTACTGTTAACTACTGTTAAAGACTGCATTTGGTAGGAAGACGTGTATCTTTACACCCCCAGCATGAGTGAAAACTCTGTTATATAGCTATAATGGATTTTGTTGCTACAAGTAAGTAGGATACAAAGAACGATATTTTAATGGTGTGTAGTAAAGTATTGTCCAATATAAATATTATTTGCTG